TGCATGGTCTACAACGCCATCCATATTTAAACAGTGTAACTGTTAAGTATTTTTATGTGGCCCTAAACGAAATTATCTGTACATTATCTTAGATAATTTAGTAAAGATAACACTTTCTTTCATCTAAGATGCAGATATAGATAATACTTATTTTTATTATCTATATAAAGATAAGATAACGTTAAAATTTTATCTAGATAATCATCTATATAATTTTATTTAGATAACAGCAAACACTGACTAACAGTTACATAAATCATATACATTTTCTGTTTTTCCTTCAAATTAAACAAAGAATAGACGTATAACTTAACTATTAGTTAGCTTACCAAAAGGAAAAGCCGGCCCTGTATAACATTTTTTAACAGAAACATTGGGCTGAAGTGGCTTAACAAATTTTGTAGGTTTATATTGAGAGGATATTAATGCGTTACACGTTTTGACAGATATACCAACGCCCACCACGGAGCCGACGACGACGAGCACAGTGCCCGTTCCTACTACCGTGGATCCAGGTGAACATAAAACAATGCGATGTCAACGGTTGTTAAATCTTTATCTAGCCTTATTTTATTCTTTATTTAATTTGCTGGGTTGATGCATGAGTTCGTCTCGCTTTCAAACATTCGCGCGCTTTACATACGAATGCAATCTTCTATCAATTTCACACTTGTATCAAACATTAGAAAGTAGTAATTGAACGGAAACTTTACAGCCGAGTTTGTCGGCGTCCATTGATGTTTGCGAGTCGTGTAAATTTATACCTAAAGATGGATAAAAGTAAGCATCGCTTTCGGCATATCGTGCTCTCTTGTTTTCGAAAAGGCAAATATGTTCTGTCTACGGAGATGATGCTGTCGATGATTCCACCGTTCGTAAATGCTTCCGACGAGTCCGTAATGGAAATTTTTATCTCACGGATGAGAAACGTTCTGGACGGCCTTCCGAAATTGACAGTCACGAGATCCTGGCCTTAATTGAAACTGATCGTCACAAAACTACTCGTGAGATTGCTGATTAAATGTATATATCGACAAAGTATAATAGGTATGACATTTTTGGTGTAAAAACGGGACGAACTTATACATCAACCCAATATGTTTATATGTACCGAACCATGTAAAGGTATTGCCGTTGTTCTTATTTTAAGCCATCAAATCCAAGATATTCCGTTTTATCCAACCTTCCCCGAGTAACCTTTAACCGAGCGAGCACGCCAATTGGAAACTCGTCACGATCTGGCACGTTATTAAGAATGTCAAATTAAAACTGCACGACGATAGCCTTAGTATATCTGTATAGCTGTCCGATACATCCTTAGACAATTGTATTCCTGCGCGCCGCTCGCTCAACATATATTAGGGTGCCCGTTTCAATCGCGCGCCTCTTTATCAGCCACACGATTACGCAGATCACTAACAAGAAAAATATTGTTTTCAGTGGAGAATATCCAGTGGTCGCGACAAAAGCCCGTGCCCAGTCTAGAGCCGAGCTCTAATGAAATAACCGACGCATCTTTGTCGACCGTCGTGAGAAGCGAAGGTACGCTCGGTTTCCATTATTCTCTTAAGCTTTCTTTCTTTTGCAACTGTTAGCCGCGCAGATTTTCGCATTAAACGAGGCTGAAGCCTCGGCAAAATATGAGATTAAATAGAAACGCATTACGTCAGCACAAAGTCCTCGTCTAATTCTATTTTTAATTGCATTGAAATTGAAAGGAACACTTCGCTCGGACTCACTTTAATACAAAATTAAAATTCTAATGCGCTATGAAGTGTCAAGAATGCCTTTGTCGGGTGTGTAATTCTATTTATATAGTAATACATGGTGTGATGGATAGAATGATTGCAACACATTCTTTTAATAAGTTTATAAACGCGCATTTAGTTGCAAAACATTTTCTCTAGGGAAAATTTTACTCGAGAAATCGACCGAAAACGCTCAAACTGGTTTCCGAATGGCCCTCGACTAAAGTATTAATATACAACAAAAACTTATTCGAAAACAGTGTCGCAACGATTCTGTCAATCACCATACATGTAATTAACTCGAACGTCTGCACAAAATAATCGACAGTGAAAAATCCGCGACGCAAAAGGGCGAGATTTGAAGATTTTGATTTCGTTACGCGCGCTCGCGGTGCAGCGGCTAAAAGTTTGTTTGTCCCTTCGTCATTTTAATACGACGAACGTTATAAGTGGCAATCCCGACTCCGCATCGCCGTCGTTACAATTACTCGCGCCGGCGACAGTTGCGGCGGTGTTGTCGAAACAAGTTTGAATATTCAAAGCTGCGACTGTGCAAACCTCGCGGAACTTTTAGAGGAAACAAAAATCGGATTAGCCGGCTGCGCGACGAAGGTGAGATTTGACAACCGCACTGGGAATTCAATGGAAACCCAGGGTGCCCCGGGAGAGACCTGGTACTTTCTGGCGATCGCGGATCTCCATTATTCGCTAACTGTGGTTAACATAACGCGTAATAATCTGATTCGTTCTACCTTGAAATGATCTCGATTTTAGAGGCGCGCCGCGTCGAGTCGGCGCCTTTAATTTAATTCAGTCCCACACTGAGAACAGTAGTTGTTGACGTGACTAAATATTCAGGCTCGCGATTGTAACCGATTGGTTGATCAAAAATCGGTTAACAAGTTGTAAGTTGTAACCGAAAGAAACTACCCGATTAAGTGGTTAATCGATTACTACGGTTGCGATTAACGCTGAAAGTAATTAATTATCAATCGAACAAATCAGTGAGTCATAGCGATTACTTTTTATTTTCGTTGGAAAATTTTACAATTACTCGAACGACACCCGCACGCGAATCAACATCGCGAAAAAAAGGCCTCGACTGTTTAACGACATTCACACCGGCAACATCTCCTTTTTAGAAAGGGACTAGAACGTGGCATTGCGTGCGCTACACGCCTCTCTTTCTCTCTCACTCTCCATCAACTGTTAATAGATATTATCAATTTTTTCTAGTCTTTTATTTGTACACAATTTATTTTTATTTTATGCGAGAATTTATTTTTATTTCACGCGAGAACGATTTACATCAAAATACATTCGGTATACATAAATATTTTATTTGCTACATAATGCAGGGCCTAATGCAAATTTTATGTATAATAGATCCGGTATATACATTTTTTAAATAAAACAGTTTAAACCATACTCACCGATACGATGCGCAACAGCGGAGTTGTCTAAACTACGTTGAACTGTAAAATACAAATATACGATCATTATAGAATAATTGTTTCAAATCGAAATTATTGCACTAAGTATTTTATATATTCAAATAGATATTTAATAAAATAATTTTTAAGTGCTCGAAAAACATCTCTTTCTTTTAAACATAAATTCACGAGATTTCAACGTATATTTTTGCGTTTAACTCTTATTCCAATCGTTTGAATAAATAGGGCAGAAAGCAAGTAAATATTAATTTTGCAAGTGGCAAATAGTTATATAAAATAAAACGCTCACCTCATGGTTGCTCCGCCGTTGCCTGACGCCTCGCAGGCCTCCACCTCCTCTCAGATTTCCTTGTTGCACTCGCACAATGTTCACTCGCGGGAATGATCAGCTGCGATCGCGCGAAATTTCGCGCGACACTCCCGTACGCGACGTGAAATACCGCGAAACGCACAAAGTATTATATTATTCGTATGATTTTTCGTCACGCAAATCACTCAAACCGGCAACTCGCCTGTTATTCTGCGCTCTTGATCGAAAGTAGCAATGAACAAATCACTTTTAAATTGACGATACAAAATGCATCGGAATCAAAGCATCCGCGGTAAAGACGTAGTTATTGATCCGCGACAAAACGATATTTTACAATCCGAATAGTCAAACAATCTAATCGTCGCGCGAAACGAATTGTGCGAGCGAAACACCCACTGCGATCAAGTTTATTAATTGTAACAAATAACTAAGATAATTCTTAATTACATTTCGAGATAAATCGTAGCGCGTCTTTCTCTACTTCCTGCTTGTTCGAGCTACGACGTACAGTAAAACGAAATACAGCAAACAACGCAAACGCTAAAGCCGTACGCCAACAGATTTCTCTATTGTTTCTCGAAACTGAAAGGCAGATTACACTGAAATCGACAGACAATTCGAAGCGCGACACGTAAACGAGATGTAATCACGATAAAGTATATCACGATCTACATTCATATTTTATTAAATAAGTTAGTCTCGTGAAATATCTGCGTACGTTGACAAAGAGCTGTCGCCTCAACATGCAATTCGTTTCTCATTACAAGTTGTAGAAACTTAATAATTAATCGATGAACGTTACTTGTTACTGATAAAGGTGTACAAATTAATAGAGTTTCGGTCCTACTCTCGTCGCCGTCGCGTTTTGGAAATTGATAACGTTAAAAGTAACGCGACACACGGAGCGACTCTCGACACTGCCTGCCGGCTCGAGGCTCGGCGAGCGAATGCGATAGCGCGGCGACCTTCGCGTAAACAATCACCCGCGTGACGTCGCGCGATACCGCGCGGGCAACAAAACAAAGGCGAACGCTGAGAATTCGTTATCCCGCCTACGAAATATGAAAGAAATTTACGTTAACAATTCTATACCCCTGATATTCTCTTCCTCTCTCAAATTACATTGTCGAGCGGTCGTCACTACAGGTACATTTTGCGTATCATTCTACGGATAATTAGGGCCAGTTTTATAAATGTCGGTTAACTGTTAGCCCGAGTTCGGTCGACTCCCTATCTTTTTCCGTCTTGTTATTTAAGAGGAGACAGAAAATCAATTAACTTTTAGTTAGTAGTTAACTGACGTTGGTGAAACTAGCTCTTAGTGTCGCTCAAGAGAATCTCTCAGCGATCGACGAACATTTATAAAGTGATATTTTTAATTTCTCTTCGTTTTTCATCTAAAGTCGACTGTCCCTGGTTTTGTCTTTATGCGTACTTGATTCGTGCGAAGGAATTTTGCAATTTTATAAAGCCAATTTCAAATTTAGTACGAACTACGAATTGAAAATTTCAAATATCTTTTTTATTAGACTTCTGAACTGAGCGTTTTAAGTATGAAAATGTCCTGCTATGCGGTCCGCAACTTATCCCGGTGTTCAGTATTTGCTGTTATCTAAATAAAATTATATAGATGATTATCTAGATAAAATTTTAGCGTTATCTTATCTTTATATAGATAATAAAAATAAGTATTATCTATATTGCATCTTAGATGAAAGTAAGTGTTATCTTTACTAAATTATCTAAGATAACGTACAGATAATTTGGTTTAGGGCCACATAAAAATACTTAACAGTTATACTATTTAAATATGGATGGCGTTGTAGACCATGCATTTATGTGTGTGTCATATAACTTAACCTGAATATATTCTATATCCCCCTTTATAATTTATATTTTTCTATCATTTTTTATAACTTTTTCTACTGCGTTTACATGAAGTCTTAAAAA